TTGCATCAACCCACCCCGTCCTCCCTGTGACCTTGGAGGATGAGGGGAAATTAGGGGGGGGAAAGATTATGGGGGGAAAAAATGGGAAGGAGAAGGTGGTGGGGGGTTAAAAAACCATGTCCCAAATGTGTCCCCCCCCCCAAAAAAATCTACGTCCGCCCTGTCCTCTTGTCCTGGAAGAGGCTCTTGAGCAGGTAGACCTGGAGAAAAGCCACCACCAGCAGCAGCCCCAGGTTGACCCCCGACCAGAAGTTGACCCTCCCCAAGTTCTTCTCCTGAAGGTTCCGATCTCGAGCCTCGAAAGCCCGAAGCGACGTCTGCATCTGGATGCTCCGCTCCAGGCGGCTCCTCATGGTCTCGATGGATTCCTGCGAAGGGAGAAGGAAGAATCCTGAGGGAAGCTCAAGGTGAGGTGGGTTTGGAGACCTCATCCAACCTTGGCCTTGAAGGTCTTCGTGGTTCTCTGGGCAACCTGGGCCTTGAAGATCATCCGGTTCCTTCCATCCCAGACACGTCCTACCAGAGCAGGTTGCTCTAAGCCCCCTCCAACCTTGACCTTGAAACCCTTCAAGGTTCTCTGGGCAACCTGGACCTTCAAGACCATCAAGCTCCATCCCCAGACACCTCCCACCAGCCCAGGTCACTCCAAGTCCCATCCAACCTTGGCCTTGAACTTCTTCAAGGTTCTGTGAGGTTCTCTGGGCAACCCCACGGCTCCTCTGGGCAACCTGGACCTTCAAGACCATTGAGCTCCATCCCCAGACACCTCCCACCAGAGCAGGTCGCTCCAAGCCCCCTCCAACCTTGGCCTTGAACCCCTCCAGGGATGGGGCAGCCACAGCTTCTTGGGGCAACCTGGGCCAGGCTCTCCCCACCCTCAGAGTCAACAATTTCTCCCTCAATCTTCCTTCTTTTACCCCAAAACGGTTCCTCCTCATCCCATGGCTCCCCTCCCTCATCCCTGCTCCCTCCCCATCTCTCCTGGAGCCTCTTGAGGGACTGGAAGGGGCTCCAAGGTCTCCCTGGAGCCTTCTCTTCTCCCATCCTCCCTCCCTCCCCACCTTGATGTCCTCGATCTTGACGTCCAGCGCGTCCTCGGGGGCCGTGGCCCAACCGTTGCCTTCATCCTCCTCTTCCCCCCCGTCTTCTTCTTCCTCCTCCTCCTCCGGGCGGGGGCTGTCGAAGAGCAGCTCGAAGAAAACCAGCTTCTCCGAGATGGTGCTGAAGGAGTTGTCGAAGCAGAGCTTGTAGTCACCGCCCTCGGTGGGCT